TGGTATTTTTTAAAATTTTTAATGTTTTTGTTTTTTTTTTTTTTTTTTTTTTTTTTTTTTTTTACCAATTTAGGTATAATGGGCGTTAGAAAAGATCTTATGTTGAATCTATTGTATGGTCTTTATATGTCCTGAAGCTGAATGCTTCTATATCTCTTTAGATTTGGAAAGTTTTCTGATAGTATTTCATGAAAGAGTAGAGTGGAAAGGTGGCCAAAAATAGAAAGGTATACATTTACCTGTCTCTTACTCACCACCAGTACCCCCCTCCCCCCCAGAAGCTGTTGAGAGTTACACTGTCCTGCAAGCAGATCAGCAGGTGGCGCTCAATTTGCAATCAAGTCTCCAGAGCCAAGAAGGAGCAGAGGACACAAAAGAGAGCACCCAACATGACATAGATTGGGAAATTTGGGCACTATCCCCTCTGGCAGGTGAGGCAGGCCTGTTTTCTCCCTCCCATCAGACTCAAGTCCAAGGAAAGGGTTAGCTGTCCCAACTGACTTCACCCACAGTGTAGCTGTTCTGGAACTCTCTGAACTTTCTCAGGTATAGGCTATACAAGCCCTGCTCTGATTTGGAAGGTACAGCTGGCCACTAGTCCCTCCTGTATCACTTTGCCAGAGAAATACCTGGAACCTAGGGCTTTTCTCCCCCTGTCCCCCAACACTATAGAACCTACTGCAAGAATAAGGAAGAAGTGAGTACTTCATCAGGTGTCTAAAAATCAATGCAGAGACACAAGAAATATGAATAAACAAGGAAATATATCTGCTTCAAAGGAATACAGTAACAACAGGTAAAACACAAGAGATCATAGAAATGTCACAAAAAGAATTCAGAATAATCATTGTAACAAATAGAATGAGATGCAGGACAAAATGAATGATTGATTCCAGGAGATGAGAATCATTTCAACACATGAAGGAGGAATTCCATAAAGAGATAGACAGTCTAAAAAAGAATCAAATAAGACTTCTAGAGATGAGAATACAAAATAGGAAATCAATATCTCCCTTCAACGTATTAACAACAGAATAGACTACAAAGAAACATCATCTCTGACTTTGAAGATTTAGTTCAAGCTTCCAAAAGCAAAAAAAAGAGAAAATAACAACAATAAAAATAATTCAGACAACATATGGGTAATTCCAGACACTGTTAAGTATCCAAATAGGTGCATAACGGGTATTTCACAAGGAGAAGAGAAAGGTAAAGGCATAGAA